TCATAGTCACGAATGTCAGGAGCTCTACGAACTCGAACTGGTGGTCTCCCTCCTAAAAGGTATGAGATTGTTGGGACCCAGGGGTCGGCCTCACCTTCCACCCGGTGGTGATGGTGGAAAATCGTCGTCCTCCTCCTCCTTGGGGTGGAGGTTGATAGCCTGGGCCATTTCATCGAGGCGAGCGTTAATCTGATTCTGCTAGTCTTGCATCATCCGGGTAAGGCGTCCCATAAAAGCATCCATGGTAGCTTGTGGAATGCCTTCCAAGTTTTGAACTTCCTGATTGTTGGGAATTTCTCCTTCTCCTGCCATTTAGTTCAGATACTCGAAACAAGAAGTTATCCGTCGCTTAATGTTTCAGATTAATGGTACAAACAAAGGACCTCACAAGTCACTCCCTCGCGTGTTTGCACTCGAATAAGATCACTCGTTTTCTTACCACTCGTGTTTCACTCAACAGAATTGGCTTTTACCCGATATTGAACTCACGAAGCCTCTTTCCACTCGCTCTTAGAAACCCTAGATGAGCTTCTTAGTCAACCAGTAGAACAAGCAATAAAACAGTAGCTCGTGTCGCAAAAAAATCCCAAGAAACCAACTACACAATCAAAACTCGACCAAGAATGCACAAAACTTGATAAAGACACAAACTTGCATGATCTGGCCTCTGTTCTTCTTGATTTTTAAGCTTGTTTTTTTTGGGTTTTTTTGTATTTTCTAGAACGACTTTTTCCAACAGATGCACGTAACAATCAAGAAACAAAAATAACCTTTCTTGGCGATGTTTAAGAACACAAAACCTGTTTGGCTGATTTTCGCACAAGATAGGAGGATATGTATGCCACTGTGTTTGAACCGGAGCTCTAATACTCTAACTCCTGGACTCAAACAATTAGAATACACACCAAAGTACGATTAGCAAAACAAAGAGCAAAAGGGCGGAAAATAACTCAAACCAAAGCCACAATTGGGCAGAGGGCCAAGTATACGAAGTGACTCCACAACTAGGATGATGAGCTAGTTGATAACATCGGTTTCTTCTAGACGGCTCGATTCCACGAACGGACTAAGAAGGATAAAAGATTTTCAAAAATGAACTCTCAAATAAGGGTTATTTCATTGATCAAAATTTGTTCCGCTCGTAAGCATAACACCCTCTATTAATAGAGATTACAAAATTAAGTAGGAAACAAATATCCAAAAGATTCTAACATATTGTTTTTAATGCTAATGGAAGATTCTTAGCCACTAATTATTCCCTTTCCTTGTTTGGCCAACTTGGGCATCAAGAATGTCCTTCTTTCTCCGCTTTCCTTCACCCTTCCATGTTTGGCCAACTTGGACATCAAGAATGCCCTTCTTTCTTTCCTTGGATGCAGATTAAATTGACCTCTTGGGCAGCTTCAGCTCCTACGTCGAGCACCTCTTGGTTAATTGGAATCTACTATTTTCCTTCTTGAGCCTCTAAAGCCTTCATCTTCGGACCACGATTGTTGTATGTTTTTTGAACTCAGGGTACATCTTGCGAGGTGATCCGGGTAGCATCACTTGGGAATAAGAACCACCGTTGACTCCACAATCTCGTCCGAGATATCATCTGTTTCAAAAGAACTTGTTCGCCATCTGATCTCCGTTAAATTCTTTCGCAGAAGCGGTCAGATTTTTTCATTAAAGATTAGGGATGGCAATGGGTCGGGTTGGGTCGGGTTTTGCCAAACCCAAACCAAAACCCATGGGTTTATCTTTGAAAAAAACCCGGGGTAAAACCCACTGGGTTTGAAAAACTCAAACCCAACCCGTTGGGTATCCGCGGGTTCATGGGTACCCACGGGTTTTGTCGTAAAAAATTTACAATTACAAGTTCTTATCAAAATTAAAGTCAAATATCAATCTCTCAATACAAATTATCCATATATAAAACATCATTCTAGAAAATTCAAGCAAATCACAAATTAACTATACAAATTGTTCAACACCAATCTAGAAAACTTTAAAAAATTGAAGCAAATCACAAATTTTCCATAAATAACATGTTTAATTGAAAGTTTCTTCCTTTCAATTAAGTTTCTTAACTCTCCACTCCATAACATCAACTTCATTCTACACAATTAAAAAGAAAAAATTAGACATGTCTCCACAAACATAAATAAGATTAGTTGTTTAGAATATTAAATATACCAAAAAAATTAATTATATGGGTGAGCGGGTACCCATGGGCCGGGTTTACCTAAACCCAAACCCAACCCAACCCGTTGAATAGTGAACGGGTTTAAACCCAAACCCGGCCCAAAACCCGTCAACACGGATTTTACCCATGTTGACCGGGTTGGGTCGGGTGGGTACCCATGGGTTCGGGTTTTGTTGTCATCCCTATTAAAGATAGCCTGAAAACCATCTAGTCCCGGGACAGACATCGGTTTCATTTCAAAAACAGTCTTGTGGTAGTCTGTTACCTAAAAAGGGTGGAGGAGTTGCATCAACTCATCCTGCTGCAGTCTAGGGAATCTGTTTTTTGGCATAAGATCCTCATAATTGCCCCTTCTTGCGTGTACAAGGTCCTGTAGAAATGAACAACCAAGTCTCAGTTGAGCTTGGTCTTCAATCCAATCCCTTGTGTTGTTACGAAGCGAGAGGACCTTGTTTCTTCTTCGTCTCCTGGTTGCTTGTTGGTGAAAATATGAGGTGTTTTGCTCCCCCAGCTTAACCCACCTCTCACTTGCTCGCTGAAACTAGATCACTTCTTCTTGAGCTAGAAGCAAGTCTAACTCTTTTTTCCAGCTTAATTTGGAGTTTCATGATGAAAAGAGACTAATCTGCCAGCGAGTTAGGTTTTAGAAAGCTTGATCAAACGGGCTCTTTAGCACCAAATCTGCATACACAGTCTCCTTACAAGAACAACAGACTAATCTGCCGGCGATTTGGCGCAAGATATGAAGCTACACTGGCCTGAACGAGTTAGGTTTTTCATGTGGATGGCGGTCAAGGCTAAACTATCCACTAACAGCGTCCGCAAATACAGACATTTGACCACGGATGACAAGTGCCCGATTTGCAAAGAAGATATCGAAACCAATATTCATTGTCTGCATGACTGCCCCCCAGTCAGGAAGATATGGGAAAGGATAATCCCAGTTCAAGAGTGGCATCTTTTCTTTTCGGCAGATCGCGCGGGCTGGTTTAAAAGGAACATTAATGGAAGCTTGAACATTGAAGACCCAGATCAGGGGCCTTACCTATTCTCCTTAATGTGCTAGTTCATATGGAAATATACAAATTAGTTTATTTTTCAGGACAAGCGATGGATGGATCCTTCTTTGATCAACTATGTCATTTTGAAATCTAAGGTTTGGCTGCAAACTTGGGATAAGGCGAGCTTAAATTTGATCGCTAATGACCGTCTGCAACGTGAAGAACAACTCAAAAGCTGGAGGGCACCGCCAAGAGGATGGAGGAAGATGAATACAGATGGAGCAACGGAAGATGCTATGGGTTTGGCCACGGCGGGAGGAGCGCTACGGGATAGCGATGGTGACTGGTTGGCCGGCTTATGTTGTAAGATAGGAACATGTTCAGCAATTTTAGCAAAGCTATGGGGAATTTATCATGGGCTGCGTTTTGCCTGGAACCAAGGTACACAGTTCCTAATTCTGGAAACAGATTCGAAATTAGCTATTTAGTTAATCAGGCATCGTGATGACCAAGCTCATCCCACTCGACCCTTTTGATAGCTATCAGAAGATTGATGACTCAAAACTGGGTGGTTCAGTTAGTTCATACATATCGCGAAGGGAATAGAGTCGCAGACTGGCTCTCAAAGCACAGTCTCGTCTATCTCTTCGGAATGTATGAGCTAATAGATCCGCCAAGAGAACTAGAAAGGATGATTTTGGAAGATGTGGTGGGAGTCAGCTTCCCCAGGAGGGTTCTACAGGATCTTTCTTGACATGAGCTGCTGCTTTAGTTTCCTTATGCTGAGGGGTGTGCACCAACAGCCTTGGCTTTGTTCTGTTTTCTTTTGGTTTTGGCTTGTCCCCAGGGTCTTTGCCGTAGGGATGGTAATGAGTTGGGTTGGGTTTTGCCAAACCCAAACCCAAATCCATGGGTTTATCTTTGAAAAAAACCCGGGATAAAACCCACTGGGTTTGAAAAACTCAAACCCAACCCAACCCGTTGGGTATCCGCGGGTTCATGGGTACCCACGGGTTTGTCATAAAAAATTTACAATTACAAGTTCTTATCAAAATTAAAGTCAAATATCAATCTCTCAATACAAATTATCCATATATAAAACACCAAATTAGAAAATTCAAGCAAATCACAAATTAACTATACAAATTGTTCAACACCAATCTAGAAAACTTAAGAAAATTGAAGCAAATCACAAATTATCCATAAATAACATGTTTAATTGAAAACTTCTTCCTTTCAATTAAGTTTCTTTACTCTCCACTCCATAACATCAACTTAATTCTACACAATTAAAAAGAAAAAATTAGACATGTCTCCACAAATATAAATAAGATTAGTTGTTTAGAATATTAAATATACCGAAAAAATTAATTATATGAGTGGGAGGGTACCCACGGGCCGGGTTTACCTAAACCCAAACCCAATCCAACCCGGTGAATAGTGAACGGGTTAAAACCCAAACCCGGCCCAAAATCCGTCAACACGGATTTTACCCGCGTTGAATGGGTTGGGTCGGGTGGGTACCCATGGGTTCGGGTTTTGTTGCCAAGCAAATGGTTCATGCATGTTTTTTTTTCTTTTTCTGGCTCATGAGTTCGGGTTTTGCTGGCTCAAGTTGGTGATGTAATTTATCTTTGACCTCCTGGCTTTTGCCTCCCTTTTATAAAAAAAAAAAAAAAACAGTGCTAACACTACGAGGTTTTAACACCCTATGTAGTCCCAATTCTCTCCACCTAACGACAAATTGTATTTTGAATCTCATCTTTTGTAACCGTTGATTCATTAACAATCTGACTTGGTTTGCAAGTTGAGGATATTGGTTGCGAATCTCCGCAAGTTTACCTTTGTTGTCCATTAGATGGGGAGTGTAAATGCAAACCCTCCAATTCCCTGGGTTACGTATCTGTAAATGCCACTGTTTATGCACTTGTGAGGCAATAGGAATTTAGCGACAAGTTTACGGACCCCTGTGGCAGCCATCAATGGTTTAAACTGTCTTTACAACGTATAGCCCATGACATGATTGCTTGAGAAACTGCTGAAATAGCGTATAGCTCCCAGAAAAATAAACCCCACACGAAATTTCAGGTCTAAGAGCCCGAGGGCACACAGCAGAGGCTAGATCGATCCCCGTGCTAATCCAGCTTGGTTTCACCCACACTCCTAATCTTGGATATTAGTTATACCTGATTTATACACAACGTGGCTAACGGCCCCTCGGAATTACAGATCAAACCTTTGTGGCAATACCCAGTGTCGTTCCAACTTGAACCAAGGTTTCTAGCGACCTTGCACTATTTGCCAGGAGGTCTTCATCAATCTGGATCGAATCCTGCAACCCAATGAACAAGTGGATAATCAACAATATCAGGACAGCTCCTGAGGCAAGTCCAGATACTGTGGCCGGCTATAGAGCAAAAAAGAAACGTGTGGTGGTGTTTAGTATGTTGACCAACCTTTTCAAAGACGCAAATCACCGTGCTCCCACCGAAGGAAAAATAACCAAACTGAAGAAGGTGGCAGACAGGAGAAGGCGGTTACCACCAAAGAGCTTGTAGATCGAAGAATTTTCAGGTTCTATTCTAATTCTCTGAAGAATCACATACCTGATCCCCCTTGTTCACATAATCGCCAGTCTTCTTCACGAATGCTATGCTACCAACCATGGTTGCTCCAATCGCAACAAATGCAACCTGCAGGCCAAGCAAATGGTTCATGCATGTTTTTTTTTTTTTTTTTTCTTTTCCTTGGTGGAACATGCTTTTTTTTTCGGTTATCCTAAACTGGATTACCTGTTTTCTGGATTTGGTCAATAATATTAGAGAAAAAGATTAACAATTCTTTTTATCTTTTTTATTATTTCTGTTCCTATTATTCGGCCCACTCCTGTGCATTCTCCCTCATTCTTGTCCACTATCCCTCAACCTCTCAACAGACTCTATTGTAATAGTGTATAAAGCTAAACTGAATATACAGAAGCAGATCACGTTGGATTGCATTCTGATTCTTTCCACAGCAAATCCCTTTTTCCCAACAAATAAATCATCAAGGGACGAAAGTAGATAGAGGACAATCCTAAACAAGAGAAGGTATTACAACTTTATGTTTCATTATAGGAGTCACAGGACCACAATATATAAGACTACGGCTGTTGAAGGTTACTTCACCTTGCAAAGGTTTAAGGGCTCTATTCGACCACAAGCAACCCCTTGTATGTGCATAGGTTAATTTTCCTTATTACATGCTCTACTTGGGTGATTTGAACCTAGAACCTCCAAGTTGAAAGCCAACAATATAACCGCTATGCTAAACTCTAGAATTAAACATGTGGAAGCACGATGACCAACCTTTCCGAAGCTGACAGTAGAAATAATTGATACAACTCGCTTATTTTCTGTGAAGACATTGCAATACTTGCTATTCACAGCAATCGGATTCACCTAGGACACATAAAAGAGACAGATATTAGTGGGACAATTACGTATCTCAGTAGAAAGGTTAATCGCCAGCAGACTAACCAGGATGTTCTAGTTTCATATTTTCCTTACCGTGTACAAACATCCTGAAACGTCCTTAAACTGCTCAATGGTTCCAGAAACCGGAAAATGGAATCTGTGATAATCCTGCAGCATTACGGGGAAGATGATTAAGAACTAGCTCAGCAAGATCCAGAATGCAACCCATTTACTAATCCCTTCAGAAGAATGTTGACAGCTATGAACTATGTATAGAGGCGCTACTAAAAATTAGAATGTACCTGAGGTGCCAACCGAAATATAACCACAATTCCATCCTTGAAATTGCTACAGCTTGGATCATTTCCCAGGAGGCCACCGATAGAGAATTTCTTGCCCTAAAAATGTACGAGAAATCAGATCAGGAATCAGAGTGCTGCAAAAGTTTGACAATTGAACATAATGTTAATGGCAATGAGAGCCATCGTGGAAGCCTCTACAGTTTAAACCCCCGAGGTTCCACTCATGACGAAACAAATCTTTGAAGGGAACTTTTCAAATATTTCAAGTACTTAAAACAGTATGACCATATTTTCTCTACAATCCAACTCTAAGGATTTTGTACATTAATTTGATTGCTCCATTTATTATTTATTTATTTCTCGCTGCCCTGTTAAGCCCTGTTCTGTCACTTTGATCTACCACAAGAAACATTTACGCATTAATCTTTCTGTATCAGCTCCACATCTAACAATCTTCAAATTCGGAAGCTATTAAGGAAAATTATGATTAATTTAGCACATGACTCATTTTTAAGAAAAACCATGGACAGGAGTACAGGACCTCTTTTGATACAGTTTTTTCCGTGGGAGACCCAAATAGTAGACAGTCAAACAGCCAATGTATGTATTCCTTTCATGAACTACAACAGGATACTAAACAGAAATGCACGCGAAATGTTAGTGACACTTTCACAGATGATAGCATAAAAGGTTTCCGGATATAATACAGTCTTGTAATCTCTTAATAATACAGTTTGACCAACACGAGTGAGCCTCCATCCATTATTAAAATCTATTCTACCCTCTGTTAGACAAGTCACCTCAATCTAGTTTGAAATAATGACTTCGTACAAAATGCTAGTCACTACTAAAAGCCGCGGAAAAACTACTATGACACATCAAATAACTAGTAAAATCGATAAATCACTATAACAAATCGTCAAAATTACTAATACTACTACAGAGAATAATGAAAAGTAAAAATCATCATTAATCTATGTGTGGGAATCCCGTTTAATCCGCTTTTTTACCCAGTAAATTAGGCATTAAATCAACATTAATTTGGCCTTTCAAATTTTTGCCTCTTCTTTTCCCTTGTGTATTTGTAGCATTTAAATCTAAAACAGGGATAGGAGGTTTAGAAGCTAATTAGCATGGTGCTAGCCCGATATGGAATAATCACCTTATATTCTCCCATGAAATGACAACATAGAATGAGAACAAAAAACTGGTTAGCCCAAAGAAGCGATAAGGGATACCTTTATCCAGAATCTTTTCGAGTCTTCCTCGGATCTGAATGCCACTAGACGACTATCAGCTGCACATACGGCCACATCATCGCGATCCACCATGGCGACTGGTCTTGCACTAGGCTTTAACTCTCTTATGAAGAACTCGTTAAATGTCTGCATCCTCAAGAAAATCCGAAACTCATGATCCAAAAACATGCTACCAAAGGCAGCACTTATGGCTCCGGAAAGTTTCAAAGAATTATACTTAAATGGCACCAATTGTATCAGCCAGATCGAACATCACTCATCAAACAGGTCATAAACACACACACAAAGTAAACAGAAAAGAAAGAGGCGAAGATAAGTAACCTTAAAATGATCCAGAGGGTGCTTAACTTCAGCCAAATTGATTTGATCCTGCAACATATCATTTACAACGTCAGCAAACAGATATCACATGAGCATGCGATCTGACTACATGCGAACATGTTTATCTCTTTCCCTAGACGGCTTTGCGAAATAGTAACACAAATACTTATATGGAAACTATGTTTTGTGAGTGTTAAGAAATGTTCTCTGTTTGAGCAGAAAGGCTGGATAGGGGTTATGCTAAATATAGTAATGATAACAGAACCATGTAATGCTATAGAAAAGGATAAATATTTCACTTTGCCACAAATGAATAGCCCTAGAAGACTTTGATTTGCGAAATTTTGGAGTAACATGCACAGTCATCAACCTTTAGCTACTAGAGAAGAAGCGTGCACCTTAAAAAATTCAAGGAACTTCGGTATTTCTTTAGCTGATTCAACTGAGTTCATTTTCCTTCCTTGCTTCTCCGAGATGCTGTGCAAAATTTCTTTAGCCCCTGGACCAAAGCAACCCAGTAATGCAGTGTTTATAAGATCAGCAGCAAGGTTGTCAAACCGGTTTATACCGTTGTGCCGTTTTGACAAGTGGAATGGTATGACCGGTGGTACAATCAGTTTATGTCGGTTCATGTCGGTTTAACAAACTATGTAAAAAATGTGAAAATCATTAATATTCAATGAATTTAATAATATATAATACATATTTGAGGACAATTTACTTACAATCCAACAAATACCATCAACTTTTGACTTTTAAATTCATTAAATAAATAAAAAATTAATTTTTTCATTAAGTATGTTCAGTAAAACGTCATTTTGCTTAGAATTCGTAAGTCGATCATGCCAGTCATACTAGTGGTGTTCATGCCGGTTTCATGACTGACACCGATTGAACCAGGTTCAACCAGCCGGGAGCCGGCATGACAACCAATTCAGCAGCCAGAAATTGACCACCTACTTGCTACAGAGTGTTTGTTGCGCTTTTCATAGATTATGTGAGACCATAACCTTGACAACGAAGAATAAACTACAGCGATGAATCGCACATACACAACTTGCCAGGAATACCTAACTAGGATGCCCTCTTAGAAGGATTCAGAGAGATGAAATAGTAACGCTAACATGAGAAAACTTCTTATCCTCTACATTCAATAAGTTGTTTTAGAGGATCTCACCTTTCCTGTCAGCTACTGATCTAAGAAACAAAGGTATGTAATAAGAAATTCTGAAAGCATGCAGCGTGACAGCTAAAATATGTTAAAAAAGAAAAAGAATAATTCAAGGTTAGACATCTTCATTACTATTTAATTGCCTGCATAACCATTTAGGAGCACACACATAAAATAAGGACAACAATACCTTTATCCATTAAGTGCAGTCCTATCTTTGACTGGTAAATTGCTCTCATTGACATAACTATCTTCCCATCAATTAACTCCTCCACGAGCCTCTTTGACTTCCGATCAAACACCTGGAGCAATAAGCTGTTAGCAAAGATCGTCCGCATGGAAACTTGGCACAAGTCATAATTGTTTGCCCGGGGAAAAAAGAGTACTTATACTATAAATTTACTAGGTTGTACAATAAAACAGATACGAGTCATCTAAGAACTTTTGCCACGCACAACAATGACAAGGGCAATGTACAGGCCCCTGGAAGATGTGATATTTGAAAAAGAGAAAAAAGGAGTCAGTCTAAGACACAGAATCATGCATACCACAATATGAGAAGCACTTGAACCTGAGTTCAAACCGATATCATATGTTGAGTAGTGAGCCCATTCGCTTAGTTTGAACATCCATCTGGCCAAGTATGGTTTTAAGGTAGGCTATTAATCATAACAGAAATAAGAATTGGAGATGTCAGGTCCTAATAGAAAAGGTACTTACCCATATGAAGCTTGCTTATCGGTCAAAAATCCTCCCGTCATAATTTGATTTCCAGTTCCTTCATCGAAACAAAGACTCAAATGTACTACTGTGTTCAGCTTGTCAGAAACTTCAAGAATTTCGCCACAAACAGGACAGCAATTTATTAAAGGCTTCCTACAATGCACAACGGAAAGGAGTGAAATTCTGCAAGACAGTAACTTATCAGATTCAAGCTTAGTACAAGGAGATCGGCTGCAGAAAATAAAAAAGGAGATAAAAATAGGTCCAAAAGGCAATACAAATTATTGAAAACTGAGAATAAAGATTGTTCTAGACAACACACAAGCGATAAGTGTCAAGAGAAGTGTTTGGTTAATGGGCAGAACCATTGCATACACCAACTTTCGACCCAGACAAGTGCCCTTTTTATGGAAATCTTGTGTCCGTTCCTTGCTTTCTGCCAGTCATCCAGATTTCAGAGGTATATTGGCCACAGTTAAAGTATTGCTTGCTTTCAGTTGATCAGCATTTTGCAAGCAAAGATATTAAGTCAGCAAAATCAGGCGGTTGCATGCACTGCCCCTCCATCAAATTATACAAGACAGTATTCTGCCTTTTATAAAGAAGTAGGAGAATAGAGTATAAGAGTAGGCCTTTCACTAATGTTCATTTCTCGTGAAGATGCAGCTTACGTTTGGATGGCATACATAAGGAGAAATGTGAAGATCAACTCTTCATGTTAACTTAAAATAGCATTTCATAGGAAAGACACACACACACACACACACACACACACACACAAACACAGATAAAGTAACATTATGGCCTTCAGAGATAGTGAAGTATTACTTTTCTTGTTGACTTGCAAGAAGATCAGCCAACTCATCTAAGCTCACAACGCCATCCTGGTTCTTGTCTGCAGCTTTGAAAAGCTCCTCTTTCTAATCAACAAGGTAAACACATACTAAGGCAAAATTTTGGATTACCTGTCAGAACATATGGAAATGCACGCAAAGATCTAAGAGCAGCAAACACAAAGTAGAGAAAGCGCAAACCATGTGATTGAGAAAGAAGGTGCAAACTGGATATTTGAGCATACTACAGTGGCTAAAAATCTCAAGTAAAATGGCCATACCAGAAATTTACAACTCAAATTCTGTGCTTCTGTTTCTGTTCCATATGTTCAATACTAGGTGTTATATGTTGCGTTTCATTTAGTGCAAAACCATAGATTGACTTTAACCGAACCTTGTCATCTGCCACCTTATTTCCAAACGCCTTTATTAAGTCTGAAAATTCTGGAAATGAAAGCAACCCATCTTCATTGTAGTCCTGCAAGCCATGTGAGGAGTTAAAGTTCTGATAGCAGAAGTAATGTAAAGAACACATGAAAAGCAACCTCCTGATGGCCCCAAAAAATGGTCTTGCACACCCATGACAAGTATGGCTAAGTTTTAAGTTCACATTCGGCAAAGACAAATAACATGGGCTTACTGTATGCGTTTAAGTGGGTTGTAAATACCAAATAATATGCTCTCTCCCAAAAGTAATCAATTAGATTACATAATATTATAGAGAATATTATGTGCCTTCAAAAAGATAAAATCACACCCCATCACATGCATACAACCAGGAGATTTAAAAATAAGCAGACCACAAGAAAAGATGAAGAATCCCTCACAATAAAGGTGCATGGGGTTAACCCGAATACAATCTCCCCAACTAAGTAAGTGTTGGACTGAATACATATCGTGGTAGTAATTTTTAAAAACAGAGGTTTGTTAATTTGGCGGGATTTGGTAGAGCTTTTATTAATTTGGTTTAAGTATTTCGGGTAGGGACTCTGTCAGTAAGTCTAACCATTTGACCAGCTACTTAGCTAGATACATATATTCAACATATATCTTTTATTCATCTTATGGATATGAATGATGCATTTCAAGGCATGACCACGATAGTTTCAGTACCCGGGGATGTGGATACAAGCAGGTTGCTTTGTGTTGTTAAAAATGTAATTCAATTTCGTTTATAAACATTAAGGGATGGGTGCATATCAGGCCTAGTATGGACTTTTAGATCCTGCATGTGCTGTTGTCTTTCAGTCTTTGTAACTGATACTTAGATCGTTTAGTTTTTTGACTTCTAAAGGTGTCTAGTCTAAGTGTAATGGTTTGTTTCGAATATGTAAATATAAACTCGTTTATAGATTATATTATCCGTGGGTAATTATATATCATGACTTTACGTGTTTATCCTGCAATATTTATTGAATTATATGGATGATTAGTATAATGATAAATTATTATAAATGTTAGTTAAAAATAAATAGCGTTATACTGGTTAAACCATTTAAACAACTCACCAAACCTTATTTGACTTTGGCTAGGGTTAGTCTAGTCTTTGTGTTCATTCCGTCAGTTTGGATAAAGCTACAGACCCATACGTAAAAGATGGAAAAGAGCTACAGCATTGCAGATTGAATGGATGCTCTTTCAATTATCAGGAGAACCAGATTAAAGACTAAACATAAAAAATAGCACTTACAAAAACAATTTAAACAAGTAAAACATGCACACCCACTCACCCATGATAGAACTGAAAATATTTCAAAGCAAGACTGTGAAGAACTACAATTTCATGCTATACTTTCACATCAAAACTATATGATGGAGCATGTAAGTCATACCACAATGGACAAGATGCGCCGTGCAAAATTTTTCTCAGTCTCAATTGGATCCTGTGAATACTGGCCATGTCAGTATGAATATCAACTTACATAAAAATACAGAGTAACCCAAATGGCAAGCTACAAACCTCAACATTACAAGAAAGAGATATTTTCCCAACGACAATGTCAGATGAAGACGGATCAAGAAGGTCAAAAACTTCAGCACCTGAATCAAAATCCTGTCCAACAGGTGACCAAATCCCACAAATTTCAGTTAAGGCAGGGAAAGGACAGGGATGCAGCACAAGCACTGGTAACTCATGTAAAGAAAAATAATGACATTGTCTCTTTAAGCATCTAGATCTGTCGGGTAAATTTCAAGTACCAATCGACACATAATAAAAGAAGTGAAAAATACAAATTACTTCAGTCAATAATCATGCAAGCAATGTGTTAATCTAAAAGCCTCTTTATTAAACCAAGGGTACTAAATGAAGTTCGCAAGAAAATATTAGATATTAAATGTACAAGAAATGAGCACGTATTAGTGAAAATCCAACTAGCATTTGAAGTCTCGAGGGTTGTGCTTCTTTTCTCTAACAGTCAATTTATATATTGATATCAGCTGCAGAGCAGAACTATTAAAGTCAACTCTTAACAATAAGAACTCCCCATCATGCAAGAGTTTTACCCCATTCTTACTAGAATGGACGGATGGGTACCTAATACTTCGTCTCCACTAATTCTGGTGAGTTGTGAAACCATCATTTAACATATTCTGGCCCAGTTAATAAAATGGCCAGATCCTTTGAATTCACTACAGCAACTCTGTAAGTCACTTTGGTTTTTAGAATAAGAATGCATGCTGAGGAATCATGGATGTGCCATCCTTTTGTACTAATAATAATCTGGTAAAGGGAACCGTTACCTCAATTAAAAATTCCAGTAGATTGATCTCACAGTATCCTATTAGACTGTTTTTCGATAGTCTGTTAGTCTGCAAGGTAGAGAAACTTCAGTGAAGAATTGAGACTAAAGAAAGTATTTGGGAAAACAATCAATAAAAGCTATACTCGTCAAGGCTTAATGCTTGCAGGTAAGAACATTGCATTAACCTATGAAAGCTTAATTGTCGACAATCAAAGTATTCAATGATGCAAACTAGTTCCACATTCTAACTATTCATGATTGAATATGTCAATTTTAACTTGGGTAATTAACATAACAAAATAATTATCCCAATAAGCATAACATTACACTCCAGCAGATTCACATCTATGCCTCACGACCCCAGAAAAAGAACAAATAAATAAATAAACAGAACTTCCGACCAAGATGTGAGACCTGAATGCTCAATTTTAATGTTAACAACTGCAAGCATCAGTACAAGACTAGCACATTCATCATTGTCTGGCTCTGTTCAGCAAGATCAAGATGGCTAAAAAGGACAAACCCTTCCAACAGGGATTCTAAGATAGCGGTCATCACAAATTAACAAGGAAACAAAGTTTGTCCAGAAAACACGAATTATCTATTGTTTACTGAGAAGTCATATTCGAAAAAGAAAAGGGAAAGGGATTGGAAAATAAACTCTTACGAGAAGTAGTTACTGGGATCAACCTAAATCATAAATGCATATAGACATGAAAAAACAAGGCTATTCCTCTGAAGTGCCTGTCTACATCCTTTATAAAAAAAGAAGAGCCTGACTACATCACCGAGTATAACACGAGATATTAAATCATATCACATTAACTTAACATGTGCTACTGTCCAAACTGATATAATAGACATAACAAAGGAAAGGGAAAGGGAAAGGGAAAGAGCCTCTCAAAAACTGCTACTAATGGGCTCACCTCAAAAACAGAAATCCTGACGATATGAGATCCATTTTTCTCCAGAAGAAGCTTTTTCTCCTGCAGAAGAAACGCAACTCAGGAAGATGCACATTGCGTGGGAGATAGAAAAAGAACTAGCACACCATGGCACATGTGCCAGTGAAAAGAATTTCTTAATTTGGTGAGTAGAGCACCGAAAGATGCCAACAAGAAGCTTGTGCAAACGACATGTTCCATCTATGTATAGAAATGGCTTTGCATTCCATAACTGAGGCTTGCGCTATGCATGAAAGGGAACAGGGAGAGAGAAGTAACATGCGGCACAAAGCAGCAGAGCTCTTCTACTATGTGATATGCAAAATATTGCTAAACCCCTGCTAGATTCCCCATCACTTCTGGCATTACAATTGACCAAGAAGGCTCATAATTCACCAGAATCCACGGCTTATGCAGAGTGACAACCAAGATTCAAAACGCATGACTGATACGAAGAAATAGCTTTCACTTCATTGAGAATACTTACCGAGTTCCATACAGGTGTATCAGTCCTGCACCACAAAGAAATGAATCAGCATGTTGTCAATTCGATAAAGCAGGGCAAGTTTGTAGACAAAATCCAATAACATCATAAAAATCTTTCACATATTGAATTTGGTCATATTGCGATAGAGCAAAGCACATATGCAACAAAGAGCTAAAAGGAGGGACTGAATAAGAAGCAAATCAGTTACGATTACACCTCAAATTTGTAGCCAACAACATACCCAGTGGATCAGTCAATGACCAAGATGCTTTAGTTCCTCACAGTTTGAGGGCATCAACACTAGCACTATTGTTCTTTTTGAGTTGGGGAGTTCATTGTTTCTTACCATTACAGTCTGTCGCGGGCAACACCCCCTATCCAACTTTTGAAAGATAACGCAAGCACAGAGGAAAAATCACAAAAGAGACACACACCATGGAGGCAAAAAACCAAAGCTTAACTGATCGGAAACCTCTGTACGGAAAGTCTGCTCGCCCAAGGAAACGCAAGCAAGCCACTTGTCTTTGAATTTCATCTCCGCCTGGGTCAATTGGAAGACGAATGAGAAAATATTTCAGTGAGTTTCCTCCTCTCTACCCTTTCCGCTTCCGGAGAAACAAGAGTACAGCTGAAAACAGGAAAGACGCACACTGATGAGCGTAAGAAGCGCGATTCCGGCAAAATCCTCATCAGAGGCGAGCTTGTTTCTGTTTAGCCCGTGACCGGCGGAGGAGGTGGAGTCGTTCATTGTACTGGAGCGGCGAAACAGGCGACTGCGGATGCGGCGACTGCCGCGGTCACCGTGGATGTGAAGCTTGTTCGCCAAGGCAGACAACCGCGAGGATCTTTCCCCTTCCTCGGAGGAGGAGTCGTCTTTGGAACTCCCGTGCCCCATTTTCTTACAGGTCGCCGGTGAGGTCGCCCTTAGCGGTAAATTACTCTTTCCGGCTTAACAAGGTGTGCCCGCCCGTTGCAGAACCGGAATTCGGGAGCGATGCTGCGAAGGGATCAGGAATGGAAACTGAGAGCAAATGAAGGGCGTTAGCGGCGATTTGATTGCTCAGAGAGCAGAAGACGTCCCAGAGATCTGTTTTGACAAGTGGAAAATGACGATCGCATTCCCTTGGTGGCTGCTTTCACTTTTTCAGGTTCGTTGGAAATAAAGGTCATCGATACTAATCCTTTGAACGTTTGTCTCTATTCTTCACATCACCAACCCCACCAGGAACACCAAAGAAAGCATCCTCTGACCTCTATTCTATTCTGTCTCCGCGGCCAAGTTTCCAATGGGAATCGAGCTGTTGACTTGGGTGATGAGTCTAATGGGTTATTATCAGGTGACTTGTGTAGTGTGTCTCTCTAACTGAGTAAATCTCGGCCTAAGTTCAGGTCATTAAGGCATCATTTTTAAGGAGAAACTTAAAGTCTTGTGATTGGCTAACTCAAATTTAGGTAGTTAGTAAGGAGTTATTAGTTAAATAATTGTTAGGGGTATTAAGGAGACTACAATTAAATTAAAACAGGCGTCTCTTTCTTTTCAAAAACCCTAACCCACGCCTCTCTTTCTTTTCGTCTGTTTATTATTCCTCCCGCAAGCAGGCAGGCGAAACGTCCGTCGTCCCGAGTTCTTAGGCCGTCGTCTGGTCGTCCCTTCTCCATCCCCAGTTCTCCATCCGGTGGTGCTGAGTTCTCCGTTTCGTCGTCCCTTCTCCGGCTGACGATTCAAGTCCACCAACGCAAAGCACATCAGCCGTTGTTGCCGTCGGTCCAGCTTCCCTCCCGCTGAGATTTCCGGCAAGTGATTCTACTCCAGCTTTTGTTCTACACCGTCGTCGTCGCTGCCTAAGTCCCGTTCCCGTCGTCGTGCCAGTCCACCATCGCCGATTCCATCGCCGTCGAACCCTGTCCGTGATCTCGTTTCAACTCCCAGTCTCCCCCGTCGTCGAACCCTTATCTCTCGTCGGCGGCATTTTAAGGTGTTTTTTCGTCTCCAATTTTTTTCGTATTTGTGGGGTTTTGCGCGTTTTGGCATTGCATGGGATCAGGGTTTTGGCGCTGCATGAGATTAGGGTTTTGGCGTTGCATGAGAAGAGTAGTCGCTGCACAATAGTAGGTCGTTTTTAATTTATTTGGTGTCTATTATTAATCATTTCGTGGACGTTCGCAGACTTTTTTGTGTCCATTGTTAATCAATATGTGCTCGTTCTCAACCTTTTGGCATCTATTATTAATCATTCCGTGGGCGTTTACAAACTGTGTTGTGTGTTCATTGTTAATCAATATGTGCTCGTTCTCAACTTTTTGTTCTCTATTATTAATCAATCTGTCATGCAAGTCAATTATTTGTGTCCATTGTTAATCAATCCGCGCACGTCAATTTTTCAGTCTCCAATATTTATTTCGTATTTGTGAGGTTTTTCGTCGCATCGATGCATGGGATTAGTCGATGCACAATAGTATTTATTTTTAATTTTTTTGGTGTCTATTATTAATAATTTCGTGGACGTTCACAGAGTTTTTTGTGTCTATTGTTAATCAATTTGTTCTCGTTCTCAACCTTTTTCCTATATATTATTAATCATTCAGTGGGCGTTTACAAAGTATTTTTGTCAACATTGTTAATAAATATGTGCTTGTTCTCAACATTTTGCTCTCTATTATTAATCAATCTGTCATGCTATAAATTATTAATTGCATTGGTAATTTTTTTGTAATGTTCATTGCTCACGTGACAATTTTTTGAACGCCATAATCAATTCTTTCCGTGTTATGTTTTTTTTGTATTATGTCTTTTTTGTATGTGTCTGCTCCGCCATTATCAACACTACTAAGTTATGTTCGTTATTAACATTTTCTTTTTGTATTGATCGTTATTAGAGAATGGGTTATTAATTATTTTGTGGACGTTCTATATAATTTTTTACAGTGGTCCACAATATGGCACGTACGAAGAATTCAACGCGTAAGTCTGTACCGTTTAGTAAGCCTATGAAGAAAAAGGCAGATGCACCCATACTCTTTATAATTTCGTGGACGTTCTTTATAATTAGAGAATGGGTTATTAATCATGTTGTGGACGTTCTTTATAATTTTTTGTATCCTCCTTTCGTACATGCGCAATAGATGTAGTGATACGTCTCACAAAATTCATTCTTTGTGTTCCTCTTAGGAGCGCTTTCCTTCCTTTTTTTTTTTTTTTTGACAACAACGCTTTCCTTCCTCATACTAAAGCCTTTGTGATGTGCATACTCTTTATAGAATAACTCTTGATGATCCCTGGACACAAACCTACGATCTATCCAAGCTGATTCATTTACAGGATCAACCAAATCAATCTCTACACAAATTATCAAGAAATTGGTTAATAATGGTGCACATTTTTTGGACTTGTTAATAAGATGATTGTTATCAATTCGACTTACCCATGTTATCATTATTAAAATCACGAATGTCCACGACTGGTATAGCACTAGCATCATTCGGATGTCCATCATCCACCACTCCTGCAACATTGAACACATCACGTCACTAGCACGAGTTTTATCAATCCACGTATATACAAGATTAGTCAACTAACCTTCACCTTCTACATATAAATTTTCTACTGTATTCTCGTCTTCGCTTAAGTCATTGTTCTTGGGAATATCTTCACCTTCCAAGCTGACATTACAGGGTACTTCATTCAGATCTGCAACGTTGAGGAAATAAAAAAACTATTACTTTTAATTATTAACAACTATCCACGTCATTATTAATCTTCCCTTCTCCGATTATTAACCTAAAATGACAATGAATTTTTACTTACAAAGTTTATTATTAACCTAAACCCGTTAATTATTAACAACTAACAATGAATTATTAATCATTCCTCTCGGATTAATGACCTCTACTTATTAAAGCATTCAATTTGTAATAAAAAAATTCCGTCTTTATTAATCAACTCTTTTTAAATTACTATTCCAAAAAGGCATTGAACGTTTACATGCAAAGTTCATTATTAACTCGCACACATTAATTATTAACAACCATCAACATCATTACTAATATTCCATTCTTGGATTATTAACCTAAATCGACAATGAAATTTTTTATGTAAAGTTTACTATTAACCTAAACACTTTAATTATTAACAACTACCGCATGAATTATTAATTATTCCCTCTCTGAGTAATGACTTTTACTAACATCTAACTCACGACCTTTACTTATTAACACATTGAATTATTGAAATAAAAATTTGTCCCTATTAACCATGTCCTTTTTAATTAATAATTTAAAACAACATTCAAGGTTTACGTGCAAAGTGGATTATTAACTTAAATACTTCAATTATTAACAACTAACGCAAGCATTATTAATTAACAATTCCGTCCTTATTAATCATATATTCTTTAGCTAATAACATAAAACGACATTGAAGGATTACATGCAAAGTTTATTATTAATTTAAACACTTCAATTATTAACAACTAACGAGTTCATTATTAATTATCCCCACCAAGTTATTAACTTAAATTGTTAACAACTGTGGCCTGTTTTATTAAACAACGCAACCAAATATACATTAGCAAAACGAAGTACAACTTACCAAACATAAAGGGTCTTGGCGATTCCATGAAACCGGTAGTCTACGAACGACACACGAGAGAGACGACGACAGACGAGACGTGACCAGGCAAAGATGCTAGGCGACGACGAAAAACGAGAAAATGAGAGGTCAACAACTTGGTGCGCGGCCGTGGAGGGAAACGCAACAGTGGTTTAGCTAGACCAAACACCGGAAAGCAAGAGCCCGGCCGGCTGCCCGGCACGACGGCGATTTCTGAAGGATGAACGGGTTTAGGGTTGGGAGGAGAATGATTATCGAAACCCCAAATAATTCAACGTCTGTGTGGTTTCTTCCATTCTGATTTTAATTAATAATATCATTTAATTATTTTCCATATTCCTGTCTTACCCTTTAACGTATTAGGTAGATAGTTATCCAATTATTACTAATCACTCTCTCTCTCTCCTTCTCCTATTGGTTGAAAGGGGTTTAAGATCTTCCTTAATAAAGAGGCCTTAAGGACCTGATCTAACCCGGTAAATCTCAATATTTTAATTTCATTTAAACTTAATGGCTGATTTAAACTTAATAGCTTCCGTTAATTTAATTTAATGAAGGATAAAGTAGTAATTACATGAATTTCATATTTAACAATTAAGCGAATTAAAAAAATATGGGCTCAGTATCTTGGCAGGACAGCGTCTCCTCCGCCGATCGGGAGATGGACCAAATGCTACAAAGAAGCCCTTTCCTTGCGAGAGAGAGTTGTCAGCAAGGTTCATGGCGACAATGAATTTATTGTTTACTTGTTAGTTTGTGTTGTTCGTATCTTTGTATACAATATAAGTATGATTTGTTTACTTTGTATTACTAATTTGTATAGTTAGTAGTGTTAGTATTTTTTATGGTGCGATTTGTAAATTTTACTTTGTAATATTAATTTGTATACTTTGTGTAGTTTGGTATGTATTTTAGATGGTAAGTCAAGTCGGTTTGTATTGAAAGTAATTATATTTTGTAACGTTAGTATGCTTTATATATATAGTTTTATGATTTGCTTTGTATATTTTGTATTATTTGCAATCTTTTTAAGTTTGGTTTTTAATATTTCTCTATTATGTTTATAACATTTATCATTTTAGTTTGTTATTTTTGTTTTTCGGATTTATAATTTTTATATCACTAATTTGTAATATTAATATTTCTAGTTTGTATATTTTATGTAGTGGTTTGTATAGTTTGAATTTATTATTTATATTAATTGGTTTTGTAAGGTTAGTATGTTTGATGGTTTCTTTTGTAAATTTCGTCATTTTTCTCTACTATGTTTGTAATATTTATATATGACTGAAAAACAACCTAGTTTGTATAGTTTGTATTTATTATTTTATATTTATTGGTTTTAAAAGGTTAGTAATGTTTGTTGGGTTTTTTTAAGCTCAGTCATTTTTCTCTACCATGTTTGTAATATTTATATGACTGAAAAATAACCTAGTTGACTGTGGGATGAAGCTCCTATATATAGAGTTGGAGCGTCCAAAGTCAACATGGTTGTTTTCCATTATGTATGGTTTGTAAATCTAGTTTGTATGGTTTGTCATTTTTGTCCAACATGTTTGTAATGTTTGTATGTCCTAAAAACAACTTGATTGACTTTGGGATGAAACTCCTCTATATAGGGACGGTCGGACAGAGCATCCAAAGTCAACCTGGTTGTTTTTCCATTGTGTATTGTCTCTAATTCTAGTCTGTATAATTTTTATGGTTTGTCGTTCTAGTTTGTATTGTTTTTAAATATTGTATGGATGGTTTGTACAGTTTTATCATCTGGTTTGTATGAACAAGGTAAAATATAAAAACATTTTATCAAAGAAAAGGAATAAAGCATGTTTACTCAACATGGGAGGAGGACGATTTCAAAGGAATGGATGATTTAGAACCCATATGCTCTATAGTCGATTTGAATTCTGATGATCCACTTGTATAATGCCTACTAAATGGAGAAGATACATACCTTAAAGAGCTAGATCAAACTCAACCAGGAGTGAATGAACCACCAAGTGAAAAAGCACCAGAGCCACCAATAATCTAGACACCCCCTCTTCCAGACATCATACGAAAAACCTCTTAATCTAGAGATGAAGGCATTAGCAAAAGATAAGGAGTATGCATTCTTGGAAGAAGGTGGAAAGCTGCCTTATATGCTCGATAACCGATCTGAAGTCTGATGATCCACTTGAACAATGCCTACTAAATGGAGAAGATAGATACCTTAAAGAGCTAGATCATCCTCAACTAGGAGTGAATGAACCATCAGATGAAGATGCACTAGAGCCACTAGTAATCTAGACAACCCCTCTACTAGCAATCAAGACATTATACGAAGAACCACCTGATATGGAGATTTAGGCACTACTAGAAGATCTGGAGTATGCATTCTTGGTAGAAGATGGAAAGCTACCAATCATTGTTAATTCATCAGTATCATCAGAACATAAGGAAAGATTGATAACCCTACTAAAGAAGCATAATAAAGCCATAGCCTGGAAGATAACTGATATCCAAGGAATTAATCCTTTCTTCTGCACCCACAAGATCTTAATGGAATACAATCACAAGCCAGTGGTGCAACCCAACTAAGAATAAATCCCCACTTAAAGGAAGTCGTAAAGAGGGAGTCTATGAAGTTATTAATAGCAGGAATCATCTATCCCATATCAGATAGCAAGTTGGTGAGGCCAACACAAGTTGTTCCAAAGATAAGAGGAATGACAATAGTGCCTAACGGTAGTGGAGAGCTCATACCTGCAAGAACTATTATTGCGAGGTTATGCATTTATTATAGAAAGCTAAATGATGCTATAAGGGAATATCATTTCCTTCTACCCATCATCTACCAGAAGCTAGAGAAATTGGATGGCCATGCATTCTATTGTTTCCTCGACGGTATGTATGGATACTTACAAATCCCAATAGCACCTGAAGATCAAGAGAAAACAACCTTTACATATCCCTATGGCACCTTTGCCTATTGCATAATTCCATTTGGATTATGTACTGTACCAACCACCCTTAAAAATGTATGACAATATTTTTTGCTAACTTCTTAGACGACATCATATTTGTATTTATTGACAATTTCTAATTCTGGTGATTCATTCGATCATTGCTTAAAGAATCCAGAGAAAGTACTAATCCGATGTGAAGAAACAAACTTAGCTTTGAGTTGGAAGAAGAGCTACTTCATGGTCAAAGAAGGAATCTTGTAGGACACAAGATATCAAGTAAGGGAATTGAGGTGGATCGAGTAAAGATTGAGACCATAACCAACCTTTCACCCCAATATCAACTAAGATAATAAGAAATTTCCTAGGGCATGTGGGATTCTATTGGTGCTTCATCAAGAATTTCTCAACCATTGACTATGTTTTTGGAGAAGGAAGCAGTGTTCCATATAGATGTACACTGCCTAGCAGCATTGAACTACTCAAAAGGAACCTGACTGAAGCACATATCCTCACATCACTACATTGGTCATTAAACTTTGAATTGACGTGTGATTCCGGTGACTATGAACTAGGAGAAATGCATGGACAAAGAAAAGATAAGAGGTTTCACCCTATCTATTATGCAAGCATAACAGTCAATGAAGCCTAGAGAAACTATACCACCATAGAGAAGGAGCTGTGATTCGGGCTAAATTACACATGTTTTATCCTCATTTCTCATTGATTGACTTGAAAACATGTATCATGTGACCATTTTGTGCTATGTTTTGATCATTTGATGTATTTCAGGTCCTAGTACATGAAAGGGAGGCATATGCACAAGTTTCAGGTCAATCGGAGGTCGCTTGGTCACTCAAAAGTGGATCAGAGGAAGAAACACAGGCTGGAAAATGCGACCGCGTTTTGTCCTCTTGAGCCCATGCTTTAGGTGTCAAGAAGAAACACGGGCTGAGAAACACGATCATTTTCATGCCTGTGTTTCTTTCCCCTACTCGAATATAAGTGCATTTTCTTTGATTTTTGAAGGGGAGATCTGGATTTTGGATCTCAAACACTCAAGGGACGAACCATAGAGAGAGAAACTTGGATCATTCTTGGATCTATTTTGGAGGATTTCTTCACCATTGGAGCTCGGAAATCAAGCTTGGAGATGGAAATTGAAGATCTAGATCAGATTTCGGCATTCTCTAGACATCTTCTCTATGTAGTAACATCTCTTCACTTAGGTTTTGAGGAACCCTAACTATATTTGTTTGATTGGATGATTGTATGAGCACTCTCTTGATTATCTTGAATTCATATTCAATCTATGCATGTTTGGATATTCAGTTCTGCTTTATTGATTCTGCTTTGATTCTATGAGAGAGAAAATATGATTAAGTCAATAGAGCACCATAGATTGAAAGTAGGGGGATTGATTAAATGAATAGTGATCCAATTCATTGCTATGTATTGATTGATAACCTCATTCGATAGAGGGAGTCTAGTGTAAAATTTCTTGATCAGTTGATCTAGAAATGGATACGTCTCTTTAGTCAATCGACTCAAGAGGGTCTTGATTTATTTAGTCAAGATTCAAGGTTTAGTCAAGGAATCTTCGCATTGTGAATAAAAGTGAATCAATTTATAGATTATCGATCATTAATTTGGCTAGTAGTTAGAGAGAATCGTACCTAAGTGAGTTTCTAACCTGTAATTAGTAGTCTAACCTAGTTTAGCTTGTACATTAGTTTAGTTAATTAATCCTTAATATGATTTGCTAGATAATAAACTGAAGTTGAGTAATTGTAACTCTATAAACCCATGGGTTCGATATTTATTACTTGTGACACTATACTGCAATCTCTTTTAGTGTTTACACTTGGCCATTGTTAGGAGTTGTGTTTTAGCGAGTCAAGCTGCTAGCAGTCATATTTGCATTGGATAAAATTCTTACCTTGTATAGTGATGGCCAAAACACTGGTCTTCACTGATTATCAAGCAGTACAACATTTGATGTCCAAGACTGATTCAAAACTGAGACTCATACGTTGAATATTACTACTCCAACAATTTGACATTGAGTTAAGAGACAAAAAAAGGAGCAGAGAATGTAGTAGCGGACCATTTATCCCATCTAGAAGAAGCCAAGGATGCACAACCACAAGGCAAGGAGATTAATGATTCATTTCCCAATGAACAACTCAAAGTTGTAGCCCCTGGAAAGGGATCAAGGCCCATGATTTGCTGATATAGCCTACCACTAATGTTCTAAAGAGTTACCAGATGGGCTATCATACCAAGAAAAGAAGACATTTATCGTTAACTTTAAGTATTTCTTATGGTATGATTCATCTCTCTATCAAATTGGTTCAGACAACATAATTAGGAGATGTGTCTCGCTTAAAGAATCAACAAACATAGTACATCATTACCATTCGGGACCAACAAGAGGGCATCATAGTGGCAACAACACTTCAAGGAAAATACTAGAGTGTGGATTCTTATGGACCACTATCTTTTGTGATTCCAATCTCTATGTAAAGCATTGTTATGCTTGCCAAATGCTAGGAATAGTCACATGAAGGAACGAGATACCATATAATATATTACAACCTATTGAAATTTTCTATGTATGGGGAATATACTTCATGAGACCCTTTTCCCTCATAATTTGGAAACAAGTATATAATGGTCGCAGTGGATTATTTCTGAAAGTGGGCAAAAAACTAAGCATTACCAACTAATGATGCAAAACCGGTGGTAAAATTCCTATGCAAACTCTTTTCAAGGTTTGAGGCCCCAAAAGAAATCATAAGTGATAACGGATACCACTTTCAAAGCCAATTTGACAAAGCGTGTGCATGATTGGGGATCACCCACAGGAGTTCAACTGCCTATCATCCTCAAACAAGTGGGCAAGTAAAGCTCACCAACAAGGAGATCAAACAAATCCTACAAAATAATAATGAAGCACGAGAAGGCTGATCCATCAAACTCACTGATGCTCTTTAGGCCTATGAACATCATACAAAAACCCCATAGAAATTTCACCCTATCGAATGGTATATTGGAAAGCTGCCATCTGCTACTGGAATTAGAACATCGCACCTACTGGGCTATTAAGGAGCATAACATAGACTTATCTTTGGCAGGAGAAGAGAGGAAGATTCGACTTGCTTGGGCTAGTGGCGACTCAGCGGTAGTCATCATCGCCTTAGATTTTCCTCTAGTTTCAACTTTCTTGGCCCACAAGTAACATCTTCCAAAAACTTCAACATGACTTGATGGATTCGGCCCAGAGGCGGTTGGCACCATCACAAGGCTGTTTTGGGTATATGTGCATGCTTGGGCGAAGATTTCTCCAATGGCTTCGTTTAATAAACGACTCATCGTGATCTTCTAGTAATATTCCTCTTGATCCTCCAACTTGATCTAATTGCTTATCCAAATCATACTAGAGTGCATTGGACCTTGAAAAGCACAAAATAATATAAAAGGCCATGAAATGGTACTAAAACACATCCTAGGTCTATTTTAAGGAAATAGTTATGATTTTTACCTAAAATATAACAAAATATACTAAGGATGCACTGATAGAAGGAGAAAATGTATAAAAAATTAAAGTGATAAACACTATAATTTGAGTGTCGTCAAATACCTTCGATGATTTAATGATATACTTATGCATATGACATTCTATTTTCTATTATATGTTGTCTTGGTTTTGTGCTTAGTAACATTATAAGTTGCCAGCAACCTGCTCTTATGTGATATGTTATTGGATTATGCGTGTATTATATGATTGGACGCAATTACTCATGTATGTATATGTTTGACGCTTGATATAGATTGTTGAGAACTCACCCTATAAATTGGACGCAATTAATCATGTATGCATATGTTTGATGCTTAATTAGTTAGTGGCATGAAGAAAAAATAGCTAGCTAGTCTTAATTCTTTCTACATGTGGCAAAAGCTCAATTATAAATATATTAGTGGGAGAGATGTGGCATCATATTAAAAGGAATTCATAAATGCATTATCATTAAGGTGTTATAAAATTGGTGTCCTATGTTTCACTCACGAGTTATAAACTTGTAACACTCTATTATACTATCCTAGCTAGACCAAGTATAACCTAGTTAGGCGAGGTAGTATAGTGGTGACCAAGGTCGTATTCCATGAGCTCGGTATGCTAACTTTACTCAAGAGTTAGGTTGTTATCTAGTTGATGTTTTTTATATTGTGTTCCATTTGAACTAGTTAAGCTAAACTTACACTAGATGCAAGAAAGAAGAAGTTGTCTTCGGGGTTTGGTTCCCTCCCGTTAGATGAGGCAATGCAATGGAATGGATAGAAATAATCCTCTATCACACATTTTGGTGCGAGAATCACTAATATGGGCATTGGTGCAATGATCATGTCTCCCAACTCCCCTCCTAGCTACACCTACCAACTCAATTATCATGTAATTGACTTCCTTAGCTAGGGGTAAATCCTATCCTCTTCAAATAGATTTAATCCACATGCACACAATTCGAATGTCTCAATAATCATGCAAACATCCAAAGAGCATCAATCGAGTATGTACCTAATTGACCTAGGTGAATGAGCATCTACTCTATGTGAAACCACTAGTTCATCATCAGGTATAATCAGCACATACAATTGACAACTACATGCAATAAAAAAAGCAGAACATCAATTGACCAAAATGCATATCATAGATTAACTAAATCATCCAATACATACAAACCCTAAATAGGGTTTAATAGCCCTAACCCCAAATGCCTTAGAAAAATACCTCATGTAAGGGTGAAGAGAAATACAGAAATAGGGGAGGACGAACATGAGGAAGGTCGATTGGATGCTGGAGTCTAGCTCCCAAATCTTTTTCTCCATGCTCATTTTCTCTTCTTCTACGCCTCCTCTTCTTCGAAGGGGAAGAACACTTCTCTATCTAATAATTGTGTAAATTTATCTCTCTTCTAGCCTCTTCTAAGCCCTTGGGGTCGTCATCTATTTATAGGAGTATAAAGTTTGAATAGCTCACGGCCTCCCGCAGGTAAGTTCACGGTCGTGAACTTGGAATTTGTCACGTGATTTTCATGCTACCTGTTCTTCCCTATTTGAGATCGCGGATCACCGATTGAAGATCCCGACCATGAACATTGATTACGGACATGATCATTTCTCACGGTCTGACGCTGAAGACCCACGAGTCGAACCGCGAGACCTTCTGCTCCTCCTTGTTGATGGCTTCCCAAAGTTCACGAGCTCAAGCAAAAGATCCCGACTGCAAACTCTCACATGTGACGTGAACTCTAGATAATGGTTGAATGTTCTCGATCGTGATACTTTGAAATTTGTGTGCAAACTCTCCTTGCACCATTTCCTTACACTTGAGACCCTAATCTTCTTCATATGGCTTAAACCCACACATCTTGGCCTGATAAAGCTGATATATACACTAGGATGCGAATGAAGGCTAAAATGCATGTCTAAATTCTCATTGATGCACAAAACAACATGAAAACACCAAAATCTAGGGAGGTAAATAACACCAATTTGGGTGTTATTAGTATGACATAGTTTTTCAACAAAAATAACAAAGAGCAAGACAGTGTCCTTCGATAGATTGAGATATGGAACCAATACGATTGATGCAAACCTAGGCATCATCAAGAAAACCCTCTTTCGGACAATTATAATTCCGAGTAAAGAGCAAGATTGTTGAGATTGTTTGTCACATGATGTGTGGATGCCAAGCGTACGAGCCAAGATTCTTCAATTAGAGTTGAGGTTGTGAGGCATGAGTAGTGTAGTTGGCTTGCATGGACGTTTATAATGACAAAGATGAAAGCATTGCTTGGAAGTATGGCATGGCTTCTCAAATTATTGACAATAAATACAAACATCATGATAGAAATCCTCACCACCACCATGAGAATGTTGGTCTCATGAGAATGATGAGGTAGATGAAGAAGGATCGGGATGGCCGTTAGAGCTACAACCTCCACTACTACCAGAAGAGCCAACTTGGTGGTCATGACCACGTCCACATAAGTATTATAGGCGGTGATGGACGGGTCTGCAAGAGGCTGACTATTGGGAAAAGAATCAACATCAAGAGAATTTATGATAATCGAGTCTAAGACCACAAAGACAGATGGGTAAAAGCTCCCGATTGCTGATAATTTCATCAACAATCTCTAACTCAGAGGTAATAGAGTGCAAGTATTGGATGTAGGTTCATTGAAGAATAACCCTTATTTTTATTGTGAAGACAATCACGCCGCATCATAATTCGTGTTTGAGAAGAACCAACATAGGTTCATGTAAGAATAACCCATGATTCATGAGAACTAGAAGCGTCCATGATGACGGGACAAATAGCTTCACTCACATGTGAAAAGGGACCATTAATTCAAAAGTAATGTATCTTGAAAAAACCAGTGATTATAAGCTAGATTCCTAACTTCGATGTTGTTGACAAGAATACGTTGAGTTGGAGCCTGAACGGAGCCACCCAGATAGCTAACTAGATCAAGACCATGAAGTAGAGGGAAGAGCTTCACACTCCATGATGGGGCATTTATCGTTGTAAGCTTGAGCGGAACAAAAGCCTCTTTGTTGAACGTAGCCAGATTATGCTTAAGGAAATGATTATGCGAGGATTGAAGAGATGATAGCTAGGGTTTTAAGCTTTTTGCTCGAATATCATGTAATAGCTATGAAAATCGTGTTTTGTATTATTATTTACATAAGTATTCATAAAGTTGCATGAGTTGTAGATACACAAGTATAAAGACTACTAATAAGCTACGGACAAGTAATACAAGGTAGACTATGATAAAGATTTATCCCTAATATGGCGGTGAAACCCTATTTGGAGAGCTCAATATATAACTAACTCAAGAAACTTAGTTCATACAGAAAGAGGGGAGAAAGTTAAACCAATACAAGAAATATTAAATGCTCGTGTTCAAACTATTCTTGTCATTCTTGTTTCTCACTTTCTTACTCCAATCTATGTCCTCCAAATCTTTTAGATTTTATAGAAATCAACCCAAAAGCTCTACAAGATCTCCTCTCTTTTTATACATTATCAAAGGGCAATTTCTCACTTCAAAAGATACTCCCCTAAAAAGGGTCTTCCTCTCTAAATCAATAGTTTACCTTGAAAGCATGGCCTGATTAGCAAAATGATACCGTGTTTCCGTCATTTGAGACCGTTTTTCTTAAATAATGTCACATAGATTAGTAGTTAAAAACACGTTGTGTTTTAAAATTCTCTTAGACTTTGGCTTCTTTTAGACACTTCATTTCTCTTCTAATCTCTCTCAAATCAACTGTCGATCAACTCCTTTCATGTATAGGCTCTGAAAATAAGATAACTAACCCCAACCTCGTATGAAAGAAGGCACATAGCTAGAGGGAATTCATTACGGAAAATACAAGCAAAACACATAAATAAAAGGAGGAAACATGTTCAGTTGGATATTAAAGAATACGTGGTCACCGACTAGATTTTCTCATCAGTTTGTTAGCAAATACTTTGTTTAAGAGTGAAGATGAAATGTTGGTATAAATAACAAACAATACTTTACACATGATACGTAGTGGTGAATAAAGTGGAAACAAAATGAAAGGTGTCAAAATTACTATTTTACGTGGTTCGCCATCTTCGCCACACGTCCAAGTATTTTCCTCCGATCCTCTAAATCACAGAAACCGTGGCGGGTAAATCTCATCTAACAAAACCCTAAAAGCTAGTTTAACCACACACCTATCTGTTTGGTTTGTTAAATAAAGAAATAACTAAACATAGAGTTTTTGGATAAATTTTCGTTTCTTGCCTTAAGGTGTACAAGTGAATTGTATATAAATATCCATAGGAGAAGAGGACAGTAATCTCGTGCCATCATTAGCCATTCTCTCAGAAATCAGTAAATTAACATGATGCATTTGCCTCAAAGTCTAGTGTTGTCTTTTTTTGGCCTTGTTCTCCTCCTCCTGGTTTTGGAGCCTTATTCATGCAGAGCTGCTGCCCCAACCCCAGTCCCATCCGATCTCAAAGCTTGCGGGTTCAAAGCAATATATTGTTTTGGAGATTCAATTTACGATACTGGGAATAATAATGTTGAGAAACCTGGTTCCATTACCAACTTTCTTCCCTACGGGATGACACTTGGGAAACCCAACGGCAGATTCTCTGATGGCCTCCTCATAATCGATCGTTTTGGTAACGAGCTCACGTACCATCATCAATATAATTTTGTTATATTATTATTATTATTATTATTATTATTAATGAGTTAATTAATGTCTCATTATAATTAATTCATGTCCTCGTTTTTGGCATGTGAAAATGAAATTTATTATTATTAATATTATTAATAATTGTTACGCATGCATGCAGTCGAATCAGCTGGGCTGTCTGAGACTAGCAATCCGGACCTGAACACCAAGTTGGATCATTCCAAAGGCGCAAACTTTGCAGTGGGAGGCACTGGGATTTTGACCCAAGAACAGAGGCTGAAGTGGAATGTGACTTTGCCATATTCCCAAACCAGCATGGACATTCAACTCCAACGCTTCGACCAGCTTGTAAAGGAGATGTATAAAGATGAGACTGGTATCCTAGCTATCCTGCTTTCAAATTTATACATAAAGAAAAGGACGTCATTTGAATTGAACCAAATTTACGCATGCATGCAATGCAGTTCGTCGAGACATCATGAAGTCATCTCTGTTCGTGATTGGCGGTGGAAACATAGACTATGCTAAGCTCTACTTTCCCGGGTGCCATTGCCCTGGGTGCGCATGTTTGGCTGTGGAGGAAAAGAAAGTGGTCATCAACCCGGAAGATGTTCGAGCGATCAGAGCTGATAACTGCAATTGCACTGCCGTGGTGGAAAGGAAACTCATCATCCCTGACGAAGTTCACCAAATAAAAGAATATGTTAAAGTATGACGGCATGCCATTTAGCTAGCAAGCAAGCATTTATATGAATGAAATGACTTTTAACTAACTAACTAACTAACTAACTAACTAAGTTTTGCATACATACATACAGACACTTATGGGTTATGGAGCCACAACATTCCTGATAAACGGAATGTACCAAGGTGGATGCTTGCCCTGGTCCATGGCTCCGGTTGATGATAAGGTTTTCTGCAGCACCGAATGGCAAGAATTCCACAACAACCACAACAAAGCCGTCCAACAGGCAGTTCTGGAGATGAAGAAGGAATACCCCGACGCTCGTATCATCTACGGCGATATCTGGTCCGCACATCAATGGCTTTTCGACCACGCCAAGGCTGAAGGTATCTTGTCCAATAATAAATGCAAACACATGCTTTTCATTAGCTAAGTACGTCTGGTTGTTGGTTTAATCAAATTATTATTGTTTCACAGGGTTCACCAATCTCAACAAAGCTTGTTGCGTCGATTGTGGTCCAAACGCCGCACATTGCCCAGACCCCAACCAGTACATATATTGGGATGGAGGCCATATGACGGATCACTCTTACAAGTTAATTGCCGACGTTATGATTCCACAAATCTCCAAGGACTTGGGCTGTCACGCCTAGGCTACCCACTCCAATCCATATTATGTAATTTCATTCATTAATTAACTGTTCCTTAGGGACAAGAAGAGAGACAACCAAAAGAGAAAAAAAGGACAAAAAGTACCATGTCCTCATTTGGCACCATATATATCATCAATCAACACCAATCACGGTGGATTTAATAAGAAATTATACTTCTTTTATCATACCCTACCTACAATTTTATTCCCACAAATCATGCTTCTCTCTTTCTTATCTTTCATTATTATGCACAAACTCAACCATGTTTTCGCTTTTTCTTTACAATGTCGTCATCCCATCTAACATGAATTGTGATGTTATCGAAACCGAATCAGAGTATGAAGCAATAAAGCAAGTAGTTCACATTTAATTGATTAATCATTATCGAATCATTACAAACAGTTAACAAATCAGTTCCTTATTAAAAAGAGGAATGTAAGTAGAACGTACTTTAATAATGACAAAATAAACATAACAATTTAATGTTGAAATCGTGGAAGAAATTATAATTATTACTAGAAATGCAAGCAAAACAAATGTTACCAAGTATTTCAATATGTGAATTTATTTTAAAGGGGTTTGCATAGAGTTAATTATTTTATATTTTAAAAATTCATAATATGCTCCATAACAAGCCTATAGCATAATAGGTACAAAACTCATTCTTCTTTATAAGAGGTTGTGGATTAACATCTCAACACATTATATTGTAAACATATCCAACAAAAGTCAACCTCTCTAGCTAGGTCTCTACTACTTTTAACTACACTACTACTTTCTAAAACATTGCTATGTTCTTCCTCTCTAGCTAGGTCTACCTTGGACCATTACCGCATCTCATCTTGATAATCATCCTTTTAAAAAAATATATATATAATGATAAAAGGGTCTCCTATCCGGTACTTAAAATATATGAGATTTGGTAATGCACATAGTATTGTACTAGTACCATTAAGACAGGGTGGCAAAAAAATATTGAAAGCATGGGTAACAAAAATCATAAGATGCCCTCTATTAGCGCAGAAGTATGGTACCTATCTTCTTCCACTCTCTAAATGTATGAGAGATTCACTCTCAATTTGTTGGAACAATCTATGAAATTTCTAGTTATGTTTTTTTTTATCTTTGGTCCTATTTCTCAATAGACGCCAATATTCCGAGGACAGTCGTGGAATTGAGCTGAAGATGAAACCTCATATGACCCCTTTTTTAGCACAACTCGAATTTTTTTACAAGCGTCAAAATCGGTGACAAATGTCGGCCTTAGCACCACACCCTAGGCCGATTCTCCTTCTCCCTATCTCATCTAGGGTTTGTGAAAATATTGTATATATATAGCTTGTACCATGATCTTAACATAATAAGAAACACCAAACTGCCTTTGTGCTGTGGATTAGTCTCGACTATCATACATCGATGATACAATATAAATCCTTGTCTTTCTGTTTTGATTACATACGTTTTTATTATATCTCCATTTTCAGGTTAGTTAACATGGTATCATAGCTTACAAGTACGAAATCTGATCAGATAACCACACATCTCAACTCCAAGAACTACTCCATCTGGCATTCCAGTTCCGAATGATGATTAAAGGTAAGTGATTTCTTGGCCTCCTCGATGGCACGTCTCATCAGCCTACTATTCCACCCTCGTCCGGCCAGGAGCTCGCTAAATGGGTTTAGAATGATGCCATTGTACGATCTCTACTTTTGAATTCAGTGGGTCTGACCATTCTTCTGGGTCTCCGTTGGCTCTCGTCCGCCGCCGATATGTGGAAGATCTTAGCTGACACTTATGCCTGCACCAGCAACAACCTTCAGCTTAAGCTCGAAGATTTTGCCGCACTCCACCAAGGTAATCTCGATGTTGTTTCCTATTTTAACCCACCTCGCCTCCTGTAGATCGAACAAGAACTTCTTTTCGCCTCTCTACTATCGCAGCCAGTGCCTGCCGAAGCTCAAGTAGAGAGAAATAAGATCTGCCTCATTCAGTTCTTGATGCATCACAAGATCGAATTCGAACCGGTCGTGCTACCTTGCTCAACCAAGAAAAGCTGTAGTTTGAAGGAGTCCTCGACAGCCTTATTTACAAAGAGACTTGCCTTCGCACGCAAGCCAATAGGGATACTTGTCTCGGCCATGGTAATGTCACCGTGTTCAGCTCCTTTTCATGTAGGAATGCTGCTAGCCTTCCCCTTCATGTTGGTGATGTTTTTTTTTGTGCAGGTTCTTAAGCCCAAGCTTTTGCGGCCTATCGCCATCAATTTCAACCCCCCAGTTTGTCCGAAGTCGAGTGTCGTCACTGTAAGGAAAAAGGGCATACTCAGAAGTACTGTAGAGTCCGTAACTTTTGCATTTATTGCAAAAGGAAAGGGCACATCATTGCTGACTGCCTCACTCTGCAACGACACATGGCGTGTAGCAGCTCAGCTGAAGGTGGCATTGGGAGCAGCGCTGGGATTCAGTGGCAGACCTAGGATTGTCGGAGAGGTGTGTCACTGATAAAATAAGATAATATAATAAAAAAAATTAAATAAAAAATTAAATAAAAATTATGAGAAATTAATTCATAAAGTTGACAATGTCATATTTACAATGAACCGCGACGACTTTTCATCTCCTGAAATGTCTCTAAAATACATTATCACTTATGATGCAAAGCAAATATGTTTCGAATATACACAACTAAAAAATCATTCATAAATTGGTTACTCTATTGACTTTGAAGATCGTTCTTAATTATCTTCATAGTTGATATTGCTCTTTTGTAGCTTGCAGTTGAAACATATAAAATTTAATATCAACTTCAAAAGCAAGTATTCTGGTGGGTCTCGCCCGTGGCCGATTGGGATTTGGTGATTTTTTTGTTTCTCCCTTAATGAAAGGACCACGCCCAGAACACATGTACATTAGTATGGTCTGTAGGTTTTTAAATAGCAATTGATAGGATTATGAGTTATTTTAAAAAAATTAAAAAGGAATGATTGTTAATTAAAATTTAAGATTGATTCATTAAATAATCAAATTCATCCAGTCTAACGATTGTGTGTCGGCTATAATTATCGAAGGGTTGTCGGAATTCCGACGACAAACCCTCCCTTGCCTTAGGTCCACACCTGCTAGAATCCATGGTCATAGTCTTGTATATGCGATGCAACCCACTTCGGCGGTGGCTCCCAATTCCGAGGGGGTTATGGTGACATCGACTACCCTAGAGCAGATGATTAATAAAGCTATTGATAAACCGTTATTTGTACATGTTATTTCCCACTAATCTTGACCCGTTTGAGAGTCGATTCTCGTGTTTTAAGCCGATTTCACGTTAGGTTGTGCTTTTATGTCTTATTTCAGGCCCTGGAATGGAAAGGAAGGCTTGGAAGCGAGTTTTGGGTCGAAAATACCAAGAAAACGGAAGGAGTGTAAGTGCCAAATTCCCCAGTCTGGTCATAAAAAACCCGACCGGGGAAAAAGGCCTAGCAACGGGGGAAACATTCCAGGGAAAATCCCCAACCTGAACCCCCAGTACTCGACTAGGGAGTTCCAGTTAGAGGTTGGGTTTTTCCCCTTTGAGGCTGCAAACCATTCTAAGGAAACCCGTCCGGTTCTCTTAAAACCCGACCGGGTAATTGGCTCGGGTTTTGGGCATCAGGGCTATTTCAAACCAATTTCGGGTTCTTGGTTTAGAATCCAAGTTTTAGAGCAAGAAAGCAAAACCTAGAGAGAGAAAGCGATGAACCCAACCTCCAAGGTGTCATAGACCGAGTTTTGACGACATTGGAGGTCGATTGAAGCCTGGAGTAGTCATCACATCTAGGACCCGAGTTGACAATTAAAGTTAAACCCGCTATAATACGCATTAGTTTATGGTTACACTTGGCTACTTTCTAGTATGACGGTACAGGCGAGTCAGGTTTTTGGCGCCGTTACCGGGGACAAATAGGTTTTTGAAGAAACATGATTTTTGTTACTTTAGCATTTCTTTTCTGCACTGTTCTGTTTACTTCTTCTCACTTTTGCCTTCACGGGGTTTGCTTGCTTAGTTGTGTGCAGGTAGTGCATGACCTGTAGCCAGTCGGGAGCATTACTATCGTTGGATCCGGAACTTTAGCAAACTTTTCGTCAGCTTAAGAAAGCACAGCGAACGAGACTGGCTACGGAGGAAGAACAGGTTGACAGTCAGATTAGCAGCGACTCCGAGCAGGAGGACGACATGGGAGACGAACACAACCGGATGAACAACCTGAATCAGGGACAACTTCTAGGGATGCCCCTCTAGTTCCCTCTAGTGAATCAAGTCCCACCTAATGATGGCATTCCACAAGTAGACGCTGCCAACCATCAACCACCTTCTTAGCGACACACTATGGACTACTTCTACACTCCATCGATCGCTGACATCCTCCCAGTCGTCCAGTATCCACCCATACCTGCTAACAACTTTGAGATCAACCATTTTAGATCCAGTTGATTACATCCTCCATCCAGTTTCATGGGCTCAAGGATGAGGAGGTGAGGGTGCACCTTTCTCGTTTCTTGCAACTAACCAACGGCTTCAAGCTGAATGGTGTTCCAGATGATGCGATCCGTCTTCACCTCTTTCCTCACTCTCTGGCAGGGCATGCAATGAGGTGGCTAGAGACTCAGCCGACACTGTCCATCACTTCTTGGGATGATATGGTCAGAAAATTCGTGTACAAGTACTATCCGACCTCGAAGACCTCAGAGATTCAACGGGATATCACTCATTTCCACCAGGAAGATGAAGAGTCATTGCGAGATGCTTGGGAACGATATTCTGGACTATTTTGGAAGTGCACCCACCATGGTTTCAATGATGCATTCACTGTGGAGAACTTCTAAAGTGCCTTATCCCCAGAGAGCCACAGGTTGATCGTGTCTTTGTGCCCGGGTGAAGGCATTGTCACTAAGACTCCACCAGAGCTGAACCAGATGATCAGTACTTTGGCCGATAGGGATCATTCTTGGGGGGCAGACCACAAGAGGTAGGATCTCTAGAGATAGAGGTGTGCATGCCATGGAGGCCAGATCAGGGCTTGAGCGAGAGGTGGCAGAGCTGGTTCAGACATTGAAATAGCCTAACAGCCTCATACCAGGCAGAGGCATGGTAGCGCCTCCAGTAGCCCAGTTCCAAGGGTGTAAATTTCAAAGCATTTGGTGGAGGATTTTCAAGCTATGCCGAAGTCTATCA